GAAAACATCTGAACGGCCTCTGCCTGGCCCAGCTGCATGCCTGCTCGGAGGCCATTCACAGCCAGGGGCCCCAGCCACCCCCTTGGCCTCCAGTTAATGAAACCAGCATGGGGATCCTAATGACTGATCAAAGCCCAGCCAGCTTCCCAGGATGGCACTGGGCCCTCCTGGAGTGGGAGAGGTGAGCAGATAGGGACAGAATAAGGTACTTGGAGGGGAAGGAGGGACTCGTCTAGGTCACCCTGTGTCCAGACCTGGCCTTAGCCTTGCCCTGGCAGAGTGACACCTCACATCACCTGCTCTCAGATCTGCAAACGTGACTCTCTTGGGCTTTGGGACACCATTCCCCTCACCCTGAGACAGCCTGGAGGATGGAATAGTACGGGAATGTGGCTTTGTGCCAAAGGGACCCAAGAAAATGCTTGCCTTCCTTTTGGAGCAAACATCCCATACTGGGCTGAATCTTGGTCTGCCTTGCTTTCTGGTCAATAAAGTCCACCATTAGTGTTAAGGCTCTTTGTCTTTTTTTTTTTTTTTTTTTTTTTTGAGACAGGGTTTTGCTGTGCAGTTCAGGCTGGCCTTGAACTCACTTGGTAGCCCAGGCTGGCCTCAAACTCACAACTCACAGCAATCTTTCTGCCTCATTCTCCCTAGTACTGGTATTACAAGTAGGTGCAACCATGTCTGACCTTGCCAAAGCTTTCTGGATATTTGCTAGTTCAAGTCACACTAAATAAACACCTCACTACCTATCAATTTGTTCTGAACTGCCCTACTCACATCCACAGGGACTGTGCCTATGGGGTCAGACCAGCATCTATCAGGAGCCCTGTATTCTCATGCATCCTGCCTTGCTGGGGACACGCAAACAGAACTCACTGGACAGATACACACTAGACCAGGTGAAATGCGTCTCACCTACAAGCCAGGACACAGCTATTGTACACACTGCTGGCAAGTGTGTACACTCTTTGCAGAAGAGGGGGACATGGGACTCGGCCCCAGGTCGGTAAGAGCGGGGTGGGAGGTTGTCTTTGTTAGTAAATCTCGGTGGCTTCATGGAGATGCTGCTAGGGCTGCAGAAAGGAGAACCTGGCTTGGTGGACGCTGACGTCCCCGGACAGCATTTCCGAGGTGGAGAGAGAATACATGAAGGAAGGTAGATAGATGATGCCTAGGAGCAAGAGGGTGGTGGCGAGCATGAATAAGAGCGAAGGGAGCAACTCAGGGGGTCCCACTGGAGTGAGTGGGGTGCTAGGGCACTGGAGGAGGGGTTCTAAAGGTCCAGCTGACAGTGAGGGCCAGGCCCACTGAGGCAGAGTTGCAGGACAGAAAGGGGGTGATACAAGGACTGACACAGTGTACCGGGCTGACAGTAATACACAGCCAGCTCATCTCTGTGTCTCTCTGGAGACAGTGTTTTCATTAAATAACCCTTGCGGGACTGCATGATATTTGGCAACTCACTCCTACTTATTCAGGACTTCAAGAGAGGACTCAGCTCCAGTATGCTGCAAGGGAGGTGCTTCTGCTGGACAGTAGAGGGCGCTGCGGCCTTACCAGAATTTGTCAGGAAGCCGCCAGAAGGAGGAAGTAGTCTACAGGAAGGGTCCCAGAGGGTTATTGCTTTTGCACTTCCTCAATAAACGATTGGTCTTGGTTGCGCAATAAACACAGAGTGATGTCCTTATGAGAAATCACTGTTTCCCCTGGCTGGACTGAAACAGACCTGAGCGGTAGAAGGCAGTAGCCATCATGCCGCTTGGCCTATGCCCAAATAGCAGGGAGCCATAACCATTAATGCTGCTCTACTAAAATGGGAAGGAAAAAAGTCTCCCTCATTCTTAATAATTTTATTCCCCAAACTTTAAAAAATGAAATTGCCAAGTTAAGGACTTGCCTTGAAAAAAATTCTAATTTATTATGAAGAAGGTCCGGGACTTGGGAATTTTTTTTAATGCAGATTCCTAATTTTCCAAAGTGACACTCTCCTGTGCATTTGAATAGATTACGTTCAGTATTCCTAGCCCTTAGCACAACGGGAACATTATTAAAATGATTGCAAGGGTCTCAGAGGAAGGGCTCCACTTCTCTCTTCCTTTCTCATTTTTGGGGACTTCATATCAGACTGCCCATTCCCTGCCTGTGGAAGAGGCTGGTTTTCTGAAGAGGGGATGTACAGATGTGCTCAGCTGTGCAGCCCGGAGGAAAGTCACACGGGGGCCAGAGGTCGTGGGATTAGACCTGAGGGTGTGAGGAGGGAGTGGACTGCTTCCAGAGGGCTCATTTAGGATGCGATTCCCTGTGTCCCTGACCTGCTCCTCTTAGTCTGCACATTCCTGGGGGGGGGATAACCCCGAGTGTTCCAGAGCAGCAGGCTCCTTAGGATAATGGCACTGGGGTGGGGGAACGGAGCAGAGCCTTCTCCTGGGGAGCTGGGTGGGCTCTGGGAAGTAGAGAGGGAAGCAGGAAGGAAGGAGGAGCCGCGCAAGTTTCCAAGTCCTCCTGTACCAAGGGTCAGTGAGCAGAGCACAGGAAGTGCCTCCGAGAGAGCACTTGTAGCCTGAAAGAATGCGTGAGGGGCTCTCAGGGCCAGGCGACCTCAAAGGTCCCTCCCTCCCCAGTGGGAAGCCTTCGTTCTGGGGCCTCACCCCGTCCTCTCCTCACCCACCCCACCCCTGCTCTAGCTCTGCACCTGCAGCTCCTTATCCAGATCCCCTTTTTCGGGAGTCAGCCTGGCCGCAGCAAGGCCAGTGGCAACTCAGTCACAGCCTGGCAGCGTAGCCAAGGTCACGAAGACCTCACAGCCTTGGCCTGGGCACTTCCTGGCAGTCGCTGTGTTCCTGGATCGCTAGGGTTACGGACAGACGCACAGCTTCCACGGGGCAAATGATCCCTCTGGTGCAGGTGAGGATATATAGTGCAGACCAGGCACGTCGCACAGAGCAGCCTCAGGACAGCCCTGACATTCTGGCTTCTGCTTGAGCTCCTTCTGTTCCCTGAAGGCCGGAGCAGCTCGGAAGCAGTGGGCCCCTTATGGCTCCGTCCTCTCCCTTGGCAGCTGGGATTTATTCACCCAGCTGTATGCTGAGAATTAAATTAGGCTCCTGGATCAGCATTCTTGGAGGACACAGGCCCTTGCTGCGGCTCTCCGGCTAATCCCACTGAGCCAAAAGTTCTCCCAGTTGCTGGAGCAGGCAAAGCAGAGAGGAACAGGAGGAAGGAAGCAGCGGCCCTCAGCTGTGCCCATCCAGAGCTCCCTGACCTCTGTGCTCGCCCTCGTACGTCCTTGAACCTTGGCATTACACTCACCACGGGCTAAACTGAGGAAGTATCCCCACTCTGTTCTCTCTTCCCCTTGTAGTTAGGAAAGCAGGGTGTAGTTATAGGAGAAAAAGCCCAAGTTCCTGCCTCCTAATTCCTCAGAGGTGTGGGCTCCTAACAGTGGCTGAACAGATAGGGAACCAGGTCTGCAGCTAGGGAGGAAGGCTGGGCTTTTGTCCCCTGGGCTTCCTCTTTGTCATTTTTCTCATATCCACCAGTTAAGAGTTCCTTTGGAACTTCAATTCTGGGATCTGGGACCTAGAAGGATGTGTCTCCGTAGAGTGCAGATGTCTGGAAGCTTCCAATCAAAGGCCAAGTCCAGCCCTGCAGTCCTTAGTGGGCGGAGCTGTGGCCGGCAGGGCAGAGGGCTTGCTGCACTCGAGCCTCGCTTGGGGCAAGAGCACGAAGCTGCTGCTGCCTGGGAGGCTGGGGATTCCAGGATCTGGGCTGGATGGCCAGTGCAGGACGAGCGCCTTTGGGAGAGAAGTCAAGGTGGTCACTCTGCAGAGTGGCCCCACATCAGCTGGTCATTTCAAGGGAGCAGGGGGATGCCAAGGATGGGGATGGCAGCTACTCTAAGCTCAGAGTAGCCTGGAAGCACCAGGGCCACACGCCCTCAGGTGGCAAGTCTCCCCCTTTCTCGCTTGCATCTTAACACTTTCTGCTGCACAGATAGTCCTGGAAGTCTGTGAGAAAGGCTGCACTTGAAATGCTAATGAGCAAGGGAACCTGGGAAGGTGGGAAAGGCCTCTCTGGAGAGGAGCGGGGAGGCCTGACACACAGTAGGCACTTTCTGCACAGGGGTTCAAGAATGCGTGAACATTCTAGTGGGTGCATTTCAATGGCAGGTGCTCAATAAATAATTATTGGATTAATATTGACCCAAGAGACCAGAGTAGAGAGAACAAGACAACATGAAGGTAAAGGTCAGAGAACAGAGCCTTTGTACAAAGGATCAGCTGTAGAACTCAGGCTCTCGAAGATTGGAGGGCATGTGTGGGCGCCCCAGGGGAAAAGGAACTGAAAAGGGATGCGGCTGTCTCCAGGACTGCAGGAGCCCATGCAGAAGTGCCAGCAGTTTCCAGGAGGGGCAGAGGGACAGGACAGGGCCACAGTGAGAAGACAAAGCCCAGGAGGGGGCGTGCCCTGTGCCGGACTTGCCACCAAGGGCTGGTCTCAGAAGCACCTGACTGCTGAGAGCTGGGAAGCAGAGAGGAGGAGCTGCAGTGTGGCTAGCAAGGGAGAACCTGGATAGGTAGAAGCCCAGTAAGAACAGAGACTCTTCTAGGCCGGCCAACAGGAACCGGAAGTTTCCAAGCACTCCAAGGCAGACTCTACTTATACCTTGTGCCTGTGTCTCAAGTTGGATTTTACCCTGACCATGACAAAGGGATTCAGCTGCACTCTCTGTGGTCTGCAGGGTAGAGGCAGGTGGGCAGTCTATGACCACTACCTCAGGTAATGACCCTGCCTGGGGAGGGAATTACCCAAGCAGGGTGTTCTGTGGCAGGCCATGAGTCCCTTCAGGAGTCTGTGTTTATGGGACTCCCTGCAGTTAGTCCCCCAGGGGCAGTCCTGGCCCTGCCCATTGTCCTGGAATAACCCTGCTTCCCGCCCATGGGCTTCCCAAGGCCACCACACTCCCTCCCAGCGTCTTTCTTCCCTGGCACACTCACCTGTGGGCTGTCCTGGTAGGGTGGGGGAGGGACATTCTGCGTGGCCATCATTGTCAGAGCTGGGGCTGGGGAGGCATGTTGCATCATGGGATTGATTCACATCAAGGATCTGTGGGCAGGAGAGAGAGGCCACAGTGTTAATGCCATGGAGCAAGCGCAGGTCCAGGAACCAACCAGTGCCACGTGTTTTTCAGCCTGGGACACCTGGACTGACAGGATATAGCAAGGGCAGGAGGCCTGCAGGGGAACAAAGCAGAACTCAGGGGAAAGGCCGGTGGGGAGCGGCTTGCTCTGCTATTTTGACTTGAAAGAAACAATATTCAAATCATATGTAAAACAACCTGTGCCCCTGCAGCGATGCTTTACTCAGCAACAGCTCTGGCCTGGTTTGTGTGCCCTCCGTGGCCTGTGGCTGGGCAGGGTGGCTAGGCTGGTGGCAGTCTGGAGGGATTGGAGGCTATTTGGATACGCTCCTTCCTGACCCAGCCTAGGACAGCCCTGAGCCTCATCCTGACCCCTCAGGACAAGGGTGTTCCTTGGCAGGCACACTGTTTCCTGAATGTATGGAGAGGCCCCCAAGCCAGGTTCTCCAAACCCAGATCCTTTTGCCTGAGTGTGCTCATCACACCCCCTAGTGGTGGAGCAGGATATGAGATGCTGGCCCTTCCGACAGCAGCTCAGGCATGGCCAGTGACCGGCTGGAGAAGGGCTTGGGGAGGGCAAGAGGCAAGGGGACAGTAGTCACCTCTGGGTTTTTGGGTGTCGGCTATGACTCCGGCACTTCCTTTAGCCTGGCATCAGTATAAAACCACAGGCACGTGGGGCCAGAAGAGCTGTCAGAGCCACGTGGTTGGCTTGCCTCTTACAGAGGAGATAGCGGGGTGTGTGTGTGTGTGTGTGTGTGTGTGTGTGTGTGTGTGTGTTCCACATCTGCTCCATTGTATCATACATCCGCACACCATCAGTCAAGGAGCTCTCCATGGGACTCCACAGTTTCCTCAAACTAGAATGTGGTTCGGTAAGTGAGACAGCCAGGCAGCACCCCCCAAGGAAACAGAACGCGCGAGAGCCCCTGAGCTATGGCAGATGCCCTGCCATAGTTAGAAGCAGAAGCCACAGCTATGTGCTGATACAGGGCAGTCCATCACAGCGGGAGAGTCCTGAGAACGCCTGCGGCCCTGTCTCCTGTAGGGAGGTGCGGATGCGCTCCAAGTCTTTGGAGTCAACTCCCTCCCTTCTCTCTGAGGGCACTTGGGGGCCTCCATCAGCCGGCCCTCCCCAGGGACTTTCTAAGGGTCCATATTCCCAAACTCAGGGGGAAACTGAGGGTGTGGCTACTAAATAAAAGGGTCAGTCCCCCGGGCCCTGTGTGTGTGTGTGTGTGTGTGTGTGTGTGTGTGTGATGTTCTCTTGGCTATTTTCAGAGAGGTGAGGAAATTTCCACCCTGGCCTGACCTGAGTCTCCAAAGTACTAGGCCCACAAATGCACGCACAAAGCAGTGGAAATTCATGTTTCATTCAGTAGATGTTTTATCACGTATCAGCTGCGTGCAGGGAACGGTTTGAGGGGCTGAGGCAGGATGGATGAATGAAACCAGGTCTTCTCTCCAGAGAGTGTGGTTGGTAGAGGGAGGCAATATGCTGACAGAAAAGAAGGTACGACGGAGGTGTTGGAGTGTGTGGTGGCTTTTCCTGTGTGGTGCAGGTCCATCGGACTCCGCCTGTGCCTCTCCTTATACAGTACAAGCAGGATATTCTGTGACAGATGCAAGCAAGCTGTCACCCATCTTACCCATTGTGGGCACAGAGATCCACACTTTCACTTTTTCATAGGTGCTCAGTAGGGAACCACAAAGGGAGGTGGGCAGTCTCTCCCTCCAGGTAGGCGAATTACTAGTACGAAGGCTTATTTTCATTCAGGGGCTTCCATACTGGAAGAAGGGGGTGTTCAGTGCCAGGGACTGTACCTAGGGTCTCCTTGAGCCATCCAGGCAAGTGTTCCACCACTGAGCTACACCCTCAGCACAGATACAGATTTCTTGAGACATTAAAACTTCCAGAGTTAAGAGTTGGAAATATTAAACCGGATGTGGAATCGCCCCCTTTTGGACCCTGAGAGAACAGAGGAAGTAGGGATATTTGGATGGTGTTTTAGGCCCGGCCTTTCGGACCAGTACTTTGGATGGAGACTGAGGGTCAGGATTCCGGGTCCCTTCCTCGGGGCACCAATCCTAGACGCTCATTGGGTAGGAAACGCGAACGGCTGCAGTTCCGAAAGTTCCCAGAAGAGGGAGCCTGGGGGCAGAGTTACGGCTGGAGCCGCATTTTGAAAGGTTTTTTTTTTTTTTTTTTTTTTTTTTAAATCTCCCTTGTTGGGGTAACTGGTTCCCCTACACCCTGGGTTTGGGTCTTTTGGTAACTTCATTCCGAAAAATGAGAAATTCGTAGCGAAGGCAAAGCAAAGAAAACACAATGAGGAGGATTTGGACTAAACAGAGGAGTCTTTAATCCACATTCTTTTGTTCACTGTCAAGTGAAGAGGGGGCAGGGTCAGTTGAGAGGCGCTGTCCTTAGACACAGTCAGGGCAGCCCTCTCTGGGGACGGTAGGGGCCCCTGAGTGGTCTGCCCCCAGAGACAGCCATCCATGAGGCTGAGACCCGTGTCAGCCTGCAGCGTGCTGGGCTGTGCCGGAGCCAGACCCCGCTCCGCCTGGGCACAGGAACACGCGCTCCGCCGGGCACAGGAACACGCGCGGCGTTCTGAAGACGCAGGAGGCCCCTGCCCCTCCCCCTCCGGGGTCACCACAGGCCACAAGGCCACGGGCCCATTGCCCTCCAGGGGCTTCTCCTGCAGGAGAACAGGAGGCCTTTTCAACAGGGGCTTAGGTTTCTTTCTCTGCTCAGTGGGACACGGAAGCCTCTGGCAACTTGACACCGGGGAGATCAGCGGCACCCACTCCGGAGGCTGACTGTGTCCTCCCGTCCTCCACCCACGCGTGAACCCCCCGGGGGGCGAGGCGGGCGTGCACATCTCGGAGAGGAGCCCAGGGGTCTGATGATCCTGCCAGGGACTGCGCTGAGGCTCTAGGGCCTGGCTGTGGGGTCCCCTGGACACTGGGCCATCCGTGCCCTTGGGGGAGACCAGCCCTTGGCGCACCTTCTTTGGGAGCAGGGAAGGAAGGGCGGGCCTGACCGCCAGACTTTTGTCAGGGGCCCTAGGGGGCCCTGGCCCTGGCCAGGGGCCCATCTTTTTGACACTTGATACCATGGCATTCACGGGAGCAAAGCCAAGGCTACAAATGGAGGGCACACGAGGTACACTCACAGCGAGGAAGTACCCCATCCAGGACAGGCTCATGTTTAGAGTGTATTTTTTTAAGTGCTCAAAACCTTTATCATATGACAACTATGAGGGAGAAAAGAGAAACTAGTGCCACACCCAACTCCACTATGATATCCAAGAGAAAATAATGTGTCACAGGTATTATTAAAAGAAGCTGAAGATGACATTTTACAGAGCTTGGGAGCCAGGGGAGGCCTCAAGGGACTGGAAGAGGATGAGGGACACAGGAGGGCACTCTGTTAGGAAACAGCCCAGGGACATGGGTCCTCCTCCATCCCTTCAGCTCCAGCTCCCCCACTCTGCTCCAGGAGGACCTGGTGGAGCCCCAAAGCCAGCATGTTGACAAACAGGCTTAGGAAAAAATGCCAAGCTCGTTAGAAGGAGCTCATTAGGACTTGTTGACATGAAACCCATTAGACCAATTAACATTCCATTAACAGCCTAGGGCACCAAGGGGTTAATGCTGCCGGGCAATAATTAGGCCAGGGTGCCAGGGTTGGGGCTCAGGGCCTTCAGGATGAGAAACAAAGCCTAATTGGGAATGGTCTGGACAGCTGGCCCAAGAGCATTAGTCCCTGGCCCCTGATCCTAGCAGCCGCTAAACTGTATCCGGAGCTGGGGTCTGAGAGGGTGGGAAGAGCCAGCATTCCGCCACCCCACCCACCACCTGCTTCACGCTGCAGACTGGGCTGGCACAGGGGCAAGGGAGAGGGGACACTTCCACCCTCTCCAGTCCTGTGCTCTTCATCCAGGGACTCTCCCCCTCCCCATTTCTTGTCTGCTTCTTTCCTAGAAAAGTAACTCTTCTATCTTCAGGGACTGGTTTTCTTCGATGTTATCCACTCTTAGGAGAAAAAACAAACAAACAAACAAACAAACAAACCTGGAAAAGCTAGAACTTTGAGGCCTTGGAGCTAATGTGTCCCAGGAGTGCTGCAGTCAAGGGAAGGGGCTAGGAGAGCAGTCCTGGGTCTCCCTTGCTCTCTCCCCTTTCCTCTGCTTCTCCTCAGAGCCCTTCTCCTCTGCCCTAAAACATACACACATGCGTACATGCACACAGACTGTTAGTGTTTTCATGATTTTCCTTGCCATAGCACAAGTAGAGGCCAGGGAAGCCCCTTGCTAGGGCTCGGTCTCAAGCCCCCCTCCCCATGAACTCAAATGGTCAAGAGTATTCATGAGGTCACCCCCAACTTTCAGTCCTAAGGTGGAGCCTGTGTTTACAGTCCCTGAGGCTGGATTCCACGCCCAGTAGAAGCTGCCACTTCTCTGTGGCTCATATAGGTCTCTTTCCCCCTTGCGCTGCAGAACAAAAGGATTTCCCCAGAATACTCCCAACGTCTTTGCCCACAGCGCTCCACACATGCTCACTGAGTTGAATGCCAACAGTTAGATGCAACCTCGTTCCAAGGGCCAGCCATCCCTTCTCTTCTCTTCCTCTGTCTTGTCTTGGCTCATTTGTAAGTGGGGAGGGGTCTTCCCTACCCCGTCCCATCCCCAAGCCAGCTCTTCTTGCACAGCTGCCTAAATGAAGTTATGACGTCTGGACAGATTTGCATGACACTGAAATGACACAGTGTGCCAGCAGGAAGGGTCGAGAAGCTGCATTAGTAACCTGTCTGGGTTCAACTCCCTCTGGGGCAGTCACCTCAGCCCAGGGGAGATCCCCCTTTCTTTTTCTTTCCCTGCCAACCTCATCCAGTCCCCTTCACCAAAACGGCCTGTAGGTGGTGTCGCAGGGCCCTGTTTAATTGCATTATATAATC